ATTAATGGCAGAAAGAGTTTTGTATCAGAAATAATTATGAGCTGATATATTTTAGAGCAAGTGCTGGAGCACAAATATATTTCTGGACATGATGTAATAAACATTAAATATTCAGTATCTCTGTATCTGACCCAAACATTTATTTTCACTGTCTTTAAATGTTGTGATGAGTTTATTTTACTGTCATCTGAGTGCTGCTTCATTATTCAGTCAACAATACATTAATGTGATAAATGAATATTTCTGTAAACATCCAAGTCAAAACATCAGGTTTCCATGTCTTTCCACTATCTATGTGGTTCTTACCTTGACTTTAATGATGAACACTTCCTGGTTGTACACCTGCACTGTAGCTGTGCACGCTGCCACGTGCAGAGAAGTTTAAAAAAATGTGCCAGGCAGAAGAAGTCCACACCATTCCTCCTTTTAGTCCTCATGTTTTTGTTTCTCCTTCCATGGATGGTGAACGAAGTACTGAACATCAGAAAAATGAACAGAGTTTCCTGGACGGGCTGTAGCGGGGGTCACGTGACTGAAATGATCCAATAGCAACACAACACAGGTATATATCTAAGTAGATGTGCAGGCATGACAGCCAAACCCATCTGTTCTCTGATTGGATGTTAAATCTATGATTGACAAGACATTGACCAATCAGCTGGAGGCAGAATAACTTGGTCAGAATTCGTACTTGTAAAGTGAAACTCACATGTAAGTTTTGAACTTGAGCAGAGAGATTTGCATGTAGTTTTTTGCTTTGTAACTGTAAACAGACATTAACAAAAAAAGATTGTAACTTGTGTAAATATTTTTTACAGGTATAAATCTTATTTTTACACATATTTTTACAGATACAAATTTAATTTTACATGCACACATTCCTATTTACATATCCGAAACTTAAAAATCTTAATCTACAAATACAAGTTCTGATTTACAAGTACAAAATATATCCAACTAATATTTGTGCCCATAGACCTCCCTCAGACGTTCAAAACACTGCAGCTCACCTGCTAACTGGAGTTTGTAGAGGGAGCCTATCACCTCCACTGGSTGCCTGTTCATTTTAGGTTTTAAGGTTCTGTTCTTTGTTTTTAAGAGTCTGGATGGTCTTGCCCCACCCTTCTTGTCAGAGCTGGTTCAGCCACACTCTCCTGCTCGGTGCCTCAGGTCAGCTGATCAGCTGCTCCTGGAGGTGCCCAGGTCCAAACCTAATCTGAGAGGAGACAGAACTTTTTGTGTTGTTGCTCCAAGATTATGGTACAGTCTTTTACTCTCTGTGAGACAAGCCCGTTCACTGTCCACTTATAGTGGTAGTAGTATAGTAGTACACAAGTAGTATAGTAGTAC